AACAAAAAACAAGAGGATACAAAAAAGGAAATTCGGCCATCTGCAGTTTAAGAAAACCAATCAATAAAAGTAAAATGGGAGCACCCAACCACAACAGAAGCAAAACAAATAAATAGCAACAAAAAAAAGCCGAAGCGTGGGACGACCAGCGCACACACTCTCATTGCTCCCGTAAAGCAAAACACACACACAGGGAGAGAGAGAGAGAGGTCGCCCACTCAATGCAATAAAAACAAAACAGAAACAGTTACGGTGCTCCGCCCATGCAGTCAGGCAGGACGGCAGCGGTGCGTGTCGTGCAAAAGAGAGCACCAACGGGCCTGCATGGGTGTGCATGCAATATATACAATGGGCACATTATGTGTGTGCTTCGTGGGATGAGGTGAGGGCGAGAGTCCATGCAAGGGAACACACACAGAGAGTGGGTGAAAGACGAGTGTGTGTGCGGGCGGTGCACGGCTCTCTCTCACTCACTCTCACGCGGCCACCACCGCAGCAGCAGCACCACAAGCAACAACAAGAAGAAGCAAAAGAGGGGAGGTGGCGTGGGAGACCGCGGTGCTGCTGTCACTGTCGCCAGGTGTTGCCGTACCATTTATTCTGGCGGCTGCGGCTGTTTCTTCTGTTTGTGGTGCTGCCTCACTGAGTGTAGGAGCATCGTTGGTATCAACACCTTCAAGTACGTCGTGTGGTTCGTTGGGGTTGGGCCGTTGAGCATCATTCCCATCCGCCTCACTCTGGGCTTCACCACTGCCACCTGTATAGTTGGGTGATACTGTTGTTTCCGCTTGATTGGTGGCAGTTGCATTCTCCATCGAGTCCTTCGTGACTGTGTCTTGAACTTGTTGTGGTGGCACACCATCCGTCGCAGGAGGTTCCGGTGCTTCGGACTTCGTTTCCGTTTGTGACGATGAGCTTTCATGTTGCTGATGCGTCAAGGCCTGTGCATCTTCCGATTCTGTTTGGCTTGCGTCTCCTTCCGGAACTGCATCTGGCGATTTTCCTACATTCAATTTCACTACCGGTGTTTGTGTTCTTTCCAATGCTGTTGGTTGTGCTGTTGATATTTTTGTTGGCGTTCCCTCCTCTTTTTTTCCCTCTTTGCGTGTCTCGGATTCCGCCCTGTCCTTAAATTCCTTTAATTCTTCCTCTTCTTTATTTTCTTCTTTCAATTCTTCCACCTTTTGTGTGTCACCAACAGTGGCATCGCGAGAATCGACATCTCCTTTCTTCAGCGGGTCCTTGTAAATTGGAGCACTGCCGGAATTACTCAAAGGGAGTACTTCTCCAGGACGAGTGTCACTGCTGTCGGATAAAAGAACCGGTTGATGGGCGGTTTGGTTTTGCGAATTAGATGCCTCACCGCTAGCAGAAACTCTTGTAAGTTCATCATCTCCTTTTGGTCCAAGTACCTCTAAATACCGTTCCCCTTCATTTGCCTCTGATACTCCAGGTCCAGGCGGTGAGGTTACTGCACCTGCGGCACCATTTCCCTCTTTTGCACCAGCCAATGGGCCGCCGTCAACACCTTTTTGTGAAAAAACAAGATCTGATACCTCCTTAATCTCCGATGACACCTTATCAGTCAAAGGCAAATTGTCTTCGCCAGCTTCAACCGCCTTTAATAATCCCATCGACGTAAAAAACAACCCGCAGTCCGCCTTCGAAGATCCGTCATTTACGCCGTTACTCGTGTGTCTCAAACCGTTCCCTCCACCGGCAGAAGCACCCGCCTCGTCGGCAAAACCACCACACCAGCACCACAGGACGCAGAGGGCACACACCAGCAGCACACGGCCAGTCATCATCGCCATCACTCCTGTCAGTTGCGTGTAGCCTCCAGCACAAACTAACGACACGTCAACGCAGAGCAAAAGCAAAAGGGGAAAAATGTTAAAAAACCAAGCAGAGCCACCGTACAGTAACAAGTGGCAGCAACAACAGCAGCAGCACACGCATTGAAACAGATGGAATCAGTGCGATTGCAGAACTCGAACACCGCCCTGCATACCACGAGTTTTAAAAAAAGATAGAACAGCAAGAATAAAAACACCCAAGGCACCAGTACGCATACATATGAGCGTGTCTGTGATGCGTTCAACGAGGCGAATGCGAGAACAACGCGGAGCAAAAAGCAAGGCAGTGGAGGCAAACAAAGCAAAAACTACCATCATAATTACTATTACTTTATACATCGGACCACAGTGGAAGCGCACATGCCCCCGTGATTGGGTGCTGGCACGCACAGCCCGCACACACATCTTTGGCCCACGGCGGTGTACGCCAGCGCGGATACGGCGAGCAGCAGCGGGGCACACACCCACGCAGAGCTGCTGAGGCTGCCGTCGATTTCACGAAGACGTGACGGTGCGCGGGTGGTCGTCGTGGTTGGCGCCTCTGTATTCATGGCCGTATTACTTGGTGCCTCCGGCGTATTCGTTGTAGTCTTGTTGGTGGTCGTATTTGGCATTTTGGTCTTCTGGTTTGATGTCGGTGCCTTATGATCCTCATCGCCCTGTGTATTTTACTGCGCCCTTTTATTTTGTGCATCTGACATACCGGTCGCAACTTGTGTGTGTGTGTGGAGAATGAGTTGCCAAACCTGGTGGCTCTGAATTATCGCTAGCCGAACGTATTTTCTGGCGGAACTGGTGTCTGTCCAGTGATGGCTGTGCCTGCTTCCTTTGGAAAGAAGGTCCTGGACTTCTCAAACCCTCCTCACTGTCTCTCCCACTCTCTGTCTGTGGCACACCGGTCTCCCCACCATATGGCTGTAATGCACCAGGCGTATTCCTGTAGGATCCGGTTTCCTTAGCTCAGGGCTGGGAGGACTGCTGTTATCATCATTATCGTCTCCTGTCGCCGTCACGCACACGGACGTGCAGCAGCAGCACAAGAGCGCAAGGAACAACACGGCGCACACCGTCACCATCGCAGTCACCATCGCCCGTAGTGGAGTCGCTGGTGTCAGTCAGCCGATCGATGAGACGAAAAGGAAAAGGAATGGAACGAGAGGGAGAGGGACGGAGCACAGCGGATACAGCGAGAGAGCGCAGACAACATGAGGAGAGGGCAGCAGGCCCAGCCGCACAGTTCACACACCACGAGACGGCGTCCACGCAAGGAGGGCACACAACGCCAGCAGCCACCCACCATGCAGGAGGAGAAGACATCCACCACCATCTCCCCCAGCTCATTCCCGCAGCCCCAGGGAAATGGCCAAAACCCCGCGGCCACCACACAACGCACACGGAGCAAGCGAACCCTCATCCATCCATGACGCGGCACAAAAATTTCCTGCCATCCCGCCCTCAATGGGACACGGAGCCCAACTCAGCGCAGTCACACGCGGTGCATCACACCCACAGGAAAATAGACTCGGGGTGCGCACTCCCTCTCTCCCTCCTTCTCATGGCCACGGAAGAAGACAACAGCCGCCACACGCAACTGCCAGCATGCACTACAAAAGGAGCATTCAAACCCACTGCAATGTGCATCTTGTGTGTGTGTGTGGTTGTGTGTGCCTGCAGAAACACAAAGCAAAGAAATGGAAGGGAGGGAGCAGAGTATGCGGAGAGACGCACAAAAATACACAGCGGAGACGCAAAACTGAAACAACAAGAAGACCGCTCAAACTCATGATTGCACTGCAGCCCAAGCAGTGGCAATTCACACAAGATTTATTGAAAACAAAAAAACGTCCCCTTCGTCTTATATAAACCCCATCGCACAAAATAATTATAAATGAAAAAAGAAATCGTCCATTACTGTTCCACACAAAATAAGAAAAAGATCACCTGGCTGCCGTGTGGCCACACCAAACTCTCTGTATATATTTTGCCCGCAAACGAAAATTAAAAAGATGGTTACGTGTGCTTCAACCGTCTGACCCTCCATGTGTCCGCACATCGTTTATATTTCATGGGGTCATCTGCGTGTTGCTGCTCCCCTCAGCCCTCTCATCGGCGCGTGAGTGCGGCCCGCAGAGCACAGTCACTCGTGTGTGTGTGTGGGGACTGAGAGAAGCACGCAGACATGACGGCAGTCGCGTCTCTCCATCGGGAGAGTGAGCGCAGCAAAAGAAAAAGAAATCATCGGAGGGGAGAGAAATGCTCGCGAGGCCGACCCCGAAGGGTGCGCCACCGCATGAAATAAACACGCAAAGCAAAACAAATCCTTAAAGAAAAGCACGGCGGCAGGGTGTGGCTGTGTGTGTGTGGCGCTGCGGGTGTCTGCCCGCCCTGGCCGCAAGAAAACAAAACAAGAGGGAAAGAAATGTGTGCTCCGCCCCACAGGCCCTCGTCGCACGCCCACACGTCACGGCTCCCTCAGCGCGCCGTTCGTCGCGGCCCCTCCTCATGCGTGCAGCAGGCGAGGCGCACAGGGCCGTCGTCATGAGCGTGTCGGTGGGTGTGCGAGTGGAGCAGTTGGGCGGGAAACACACGGCACCCCTCACAGGAAGAGTGCAGCAACAAACAATTGAAAGAGGGAAGAGTAGAAAAGAAAGAAACGTCCATAGTGATTGCCCCCAAAAGCAAAAAAAAAGGGAATGGGGAAATGAAAAATAAAAGAACAATAAAAAGTAAAAACAACAACAAAACGCACAAAAAACAAAAGAAAAAAGAAATGAAGAAAGAAATTTCACCATCAGAAAAAAACAAAAAAAAAACATTTACAATATTTTAAAGCAAACAGCAAAGAAAAATTAAAACTATTTAGAACAATCGTAAGAGGTCGCCCACTCAATGCAATAAAAACAAAACAGAAACAGTTACGGTGCTCCGCCCATGCAGCCAGGCAGGACGGCAGCGGTGCGTGTGGTGCAAAAGAGAGCACCAACGGGCCTGCATGGGTGTGCATGCAATATATACAATGGGCACATTATGTGTGTGCTTCGTGGGATGAGGTGAGGGCGAGAGTCCATGCAAGGGGACACACACAGAGAGAGAGAGAAGGACGAGTGTGTGTGCGGGCGGTGCACGGCTCTCTCTCCCTCACTCTCACGCGGCCACCACCGCAGCAGCAGCCGCACACGCAACAAGAAGAAGAAGCAAAAGAGGGGAGGTGGTGTGGGATGCATCCGTGTTTTGACTGTAGTTCTTCTCATTTACTGGATTTTTCTTTGGCTGTTGAGTTTTTATCCCATGCGCTTTTGTGTTGGATACTTCCGAGATTTCTTTTCCACTGCTTTGGGATTCTGTAATTTGATCCCCTGATGATTTTTTTGTCTCGTTCTTTTGTGAATGTTCATTTTTCTTTTGTTCTTCCAAAGAGTCTTGGAGTTCATCTCCCGCGGCGTTGTGGCCAAGACTGCGACCCCCTGCTGAAGCAAAATTGTTTCTTTGTTTTTCATTGTTGGATGACACCGTTGGCTGTCCTTCGGGCGAAGAGGTGTGCTGACTCCCTGTCTCTTTTTGTGCCAAAACTTCTTGTGGGGGTACAATCTGCTCATCGGATGAAACACTGATCGGGGTTGTTTTTCCATTACCACCTTGATTTGAGGAAATAACGACGGAGCGAGAGTTCGGAGGTTCACTTCCACCAGCAACAGAATGACCAGCACCGGAAAAAGCAGCACCAAGACTGGAAAAAGCAGCAGCAGCACCAGCACCAGCAGGACCAGGAATAGCAGCATCAGAAATGGAACCAAGAATAGCACCATGACCGAGAACAGCAGAACCAGGAATAGCAGCAGGATCAGCAGTACCGGGAACAGCAGCACCTGGAATAGCAGCAACATGACCGGGACCAGCATCACCAAGACCGGAAAAAGCAGGACCATCACCGGGAACAGCAGGACCAGGAATAGGAGCATCAACACCACGAACAGGACCAGCAGCACCAGGAATAGCAGCATCAGCAATAGCAGCACCACGACCGGAAAAAGCAGCAGCACCATCCCCGGGACTAGCAGGACCAGGAATAGCAGCATCAGAAATGGAACCAGGAATAGCACCATGACCGAGAACAGCAGAACCAGGAATAGCAGCAGGATCAGCAGTACCGGGAACAGCGGCACCTGGAATAGCAGCAGCATGACCGGGACCAGCAGCACCAAGACCGGAAAAAGCAGGACCATCACCGGGAACAGCAGGACCAGGAATAGGAGCATCAACACCACGAACAGGACCAGCAGCACCAGGAATAGCAGCATCAGCAATAGCAGCACCACGACCGGAAAAAGCAGCAGCACCATCCCCGGGACCAGCAGCACCAAGACCAGAAAAAGCAGGGCCATTACCGGGAAAAGGAGCACCAGGAATAGCAGCAGGGCCATGACCGGGAACAGGAGCACCAAAAATATTAGCATCAGGACCGGAAAAGGCAGGACTACGAACAGGATCAGGACCAGCAGCACCACGACCGGAAAAAGCAGCAGCACCATCCCCGGGACCAGCAGGACCATGAACAAAACCAGGACCAGGGCCAGGAACAGCAGAACCAAGACCGGAAAAAGCAGGACTAAGACCCGTGGCTCCACTTAAAGGTGAATCAGTAACTCCTGGAGAAGAAACCTCTCCTTCACGAGCTTCGGCTTGTATAGCAGAGATAAACGATGCTGACAGCAAAGGCGGTGTGGATAAGTTTTTACTGGATCCAGTTGACAAAAACGACTTATTCCTTCCAAACCCTCCCGACGCCATGTAGCCGCCCAGTGAGTTGTTGTCAGGGTTCCTCGCATAAACCCCGCAGACACCGCACCACAGCACGCAGAGGGCACACACCAGCAGCACACGGCCAGTCATCATCATCGCCATCACTCCTGTCACTTGCGTGTAGCCTTCAGCACAAACTAACAACACGTCCACAGAGAGTAAAAGCAAAAGGAGAGACAAGTCACACAGTAACACGCACAGTAAACAACGGCAGCAGCCCCGCAGAAGCACGCACACTGACCCACACACCAGAAGTAAAAAAGCAATACCAAAACAAAAAAAGTAATTGAGTGCCCAACGGGAGTCTCCTCCTCCAAAAAAATACACTTCGGCAGAATCATCATTTCATACGCCATGCGGCAAAGCAGGACTGTGTTTATATGTACATGCGTACAGTACCTGCACAAGGAAAAAAATATTACTGTTCCACAAGCCCACACAACATCCCACACATTTCATGCGGCATCCGGCCTGTCCCTCCACTCCTCCTTTTGTGTCGTCCGTGGAGCGCACAGCCATGGGGCCTGTACCGCGTGTAGGCAACAGAAGCAATCAAGAGTAAAACCATTTCGCTCATAAAGATGCGCATCAACTGACCATTAAGTTAAAACAAAAGAAAAAGGTGCTCCCATTGTTCCATGTAAACAACATTAAAAAGAACATCAAAAAAAGAAAACCTGTGGGGAACGCGGCACATAGTCTCTGTGAGAAGTCGCAACTCCACACTCCGTGGCTCAGAAAACCGCCACAACCACACACAGTCCCAAAGGCAGAAGCAGCAGTGGTGTGTCCACCCACGAGGTGATGCGCTCGCCACTGCTCACCGTCGGCAAGGACAAGTCACCTTCGAACTAGACTTCTCTACTCTCCTTAATTTTTTTGTTTAAAGAAGATGTGATCTGTGTGGCGCTGCTGCACGCACCGCTGTTTGTGGGCTCCTTAGCGGCGGGGGCGGGTGCTCGAGGAACATGGATAAAGTCCCATCGCCCGTACACATCGGTGGTATTGGACGTCATGAGGTCATTATATTTTTTTTCCTACTCTTACCAGCGCGTCCAGCCACACGGTGCCATCTGAATGCTGAGGAGGTGGTCGAGCAGCGACAAGAGTTTCCTGCTATAAAGCAACTGCCATTGGGAGAACTTTCCGAGGCGAAGTTCCTGCTCAATGCCCAGCCGTTGGCGCACAGCCAAGGTGCCTGGACATCCTAGAAGCAGATGGTGCAAGGTTTCCTGCGTGCCAATTGGCGTGCTTGTGGAAGAAGGCTGATCCTGCGGCAGCAGAGATCGCCTCCTGGCACTGCTGCAATATCGTGTGGCGTCTGGGTTGTGTGCGCAGCGACTTCTGTGCTGTGCGGTGCTTCTACGTGTGGGGAAAACCATGTCACAGAAATTGCATTTGAGCTCGGGAAGCGGTGGAGGATGTTCCGGATGAAATGACCGACAGTGACTGACGAGATTCGAGAATCCCGTCAATATAGAATCGCAGTACGGACATTTCTCCTTCCGATGACGTGTGACGGTCCGTCTCCTTACTGGAGAGACGTCTTCATCCCTTGCCGACGGGGGAACAGTGTCCGTCCCCGGTGCAGTTGGATCGTTGTTAGAGTGCATATATGCAGACTGTTCCGGTGAGATGTTGCAGAAACGGCATTGGTTCATGCAATCTCTCACAGCCCAGTATAATCGGCCCCAGAGCTCAGATTCCCCGCACCTTGCCCTTGCGAGGTGAACCAGTTCCTGACAGTGGAGAACTTCCTGAGTGATCAGGTCCTTGCCGCTGAGATCGGATGGCCTTGTGCCGCAAAGCAAGCAGCGGTGAGTGTACTGACGAATGGTACTACGCCACTTATTGATAAGCTGGGTAGTAAAACATGTCAGCAGGTCCGTATGCCATAAAGGTGCGATTCCGTGCTCCGTGTATTGTCCGGTTGCCATAGTCTGCGTCGCATACTGATCTGCAGGCTCGTTAGCATGTACTCCACAATGTCCGTAACAAAACTGCAGGTGCACGGACCAGCCAGCACACGCCAGTGTCAAGAGACGCTGCCAGATCTGATCCTCCGTCCAGTCTGCCTGACTGAGCGGACCCTTTTTTAGAGCCGCTAGAAGAGACTGACTGTCTGTAACCACAAGCAGGGTTTTATGCCTGTGCTGGATGCGAGGGATAATCAGCCTTTCCAGGGCTAGAAGCAGTGCGCGGGATTCCGTCCTGTAGCTGCATGGGCGTGTGCCGCAGTTTATACTGGCCTTTTCTATTATCTCCGATGAATTGAGGGATGAAAGCAGTATTCCAACCCCGGCTGACTTGGGAACGTCGACACCTCCATCCGTCGCGAGTATCCACGAACGATGACTGTGCAGCGCTAGAGCCTCTTCGCTGATTCTGCGCTTTTCCCTTGTCAGCTCTTCCTCGTCAGTTATTGAGTGACCCATCGGAAGTTCCACGCCAATGGTGACCCGGTGAGCGGAGGCCGCAAAACAGGGAGGAATGGAGCTGCGAAAGAACCGCCCTTCGCGTGGTGAGTTTTGGGTGATGCCGTAGTCCTTTGCGTATGCGTCTACGAAGGCATATAGCTCGTCCCGAGATAATGGCGAGATGCGGAAACCTGTGCGAGGCGGTGGCTCAGGCGGGGGTCTCCGCATCCAGTCCATCGGACATGCGGGTGTGTTCTCAAATATGGAGAGCCGCGCGCGCAGGCAAAGGACATGGAGCGGCGGCATATTAGCCTCTAGAAGTGCGGATTCCGGGTCAACAGTGCTCGGAACTCCGCTGACAATGCGTGCCAGGGTTGCATACGTCTTCTGCATCTCATTCTTCGCTGAATCCGTCGCTACTGCCCATATGAGCTCACTGCCATAGCGTAATTTGGAAGCACCATATCCAATGACGAACGTGCGTGGGTCATGTGGAGATGGTCCCGCCTCTTTATGCGCAATGCAGCGTAGCTGCGATATCCGTTGCGAAGTGGCAGCGCATTGCTTGGAGGCCGCCACATTTAGCGTCAGTCGTGGATCGAGATCCATGCCAAGAAGCTTCGTAGTTCGCGATGCCCCCATGGTCATGACTGGGATTTCACATCCAGCCACTACCAGCGGCCACTTTCGTTCACGATCATAATCTGACTCCGTGTGCGTGGAGAGCGTGAACCAAGCGGCTTCACACTTTGACGGGTTAATGGCCAGGCCATTTTCCTGACTCCACGCATGCAGTTTTTTGAGAACCATGTTGGCAGTGGGAATGGCGTCTTCCCGGAACTGCCCCTTAACGATAATAGAGAGGTCGTCCGCATACATGTCTGCTGTGACACCCGCAAAGCTGTTCAGCAGATTGAGAAGTGGGTGTACGTAAAGGGAGAACAAATACGGTCCCAGCACGGACCCCTGAGGAACTCCTCGCAGCATGGGACGCCGATCACTGTTTCTGTTACCAACTCGCGTCTTCGCGTTACGACCACATAGAAAGTTTCTAAGCCACCTTCTACAATTCACCCCCGGAATATTAGCCAGCAAGCGACTGAGGACTCGATGATCTATGGAGTCAAAAGCCTTGCTAAAATCAACCAACACCAGCAGAGTCCGATGGGGTCTGTAGTGGAGTTGATTACCAATACCGCTCTTCTTGGGAAGGTTCACTTGGAAATAATGATTTCTATTATGCTCCACTTCGTGTATCAGGTGTGCCAGCTGCATCGTCGTAGTACGCATACCACGATATGCATACTGGTGGGGGTGAGGCGTCCACACCCAAAGCAATCTCTTCAGTACCATTTTCTCAGCAACCTTACTCACAATGGAAGTAAGGCTGATGGGTCGATATGACTCAAGCAGTTCCGGCGACTTACCGGGTTTTAAGAGTGGGACAATGGTAGCGCGTCTCCACTCAGCCGGGATCGCACCGGTCGTCCAGCTGTGGTTAATGCAACGAAGAAGGAATCGAAGACCCTTTGACGAAATATGTCGTAGCGCCTCACTGTAGACTTCATCCGGTCCGGGGCCTTGCCATACGGCGTATTACGTAGCGCAGTAAGCGGTTCCGTACGATTAAAAGGTGCATCAATAGGGCAGTGACAAAACCCCTGATGTAAATGTAGCGGCAGACTCGTAGTTGTTCTGCGGCTCAGAACTAGAAGAAGAAGAAACAATGTTCAAAGATGGGTTCTGTCTGTTGATGCCCTTGGAAGGCCTTATTGCCTTGTGAGAGGGGTGAAGTGGAAAAAAGATGCGATTGAGAGCATTCGCTGCTCTCCTTGCTGTTTTATAAGTGTGTTGACCATCTCCCAACAACAATGATGTAGGAGGTGGAAGTGATGCCTTTTTTCGTCCGGAAATGTATTTCCATGCGAGTGGTTCGCCTGGATTTAACTTGCTGATGCGACGTAGATACGTGTTGCGCAGGCGCTCTCGGAGTAGGAGGAAGAATTGACTCCTTGTCCGTTGCATTTCTGCCTCACGGTCGGGCGTCGGTAACTGCAGATAGCGGGCCTTGCTGTCGGTAGCAATCCGCTCTGCCTCCATGAGAGTGTCGTCCCAAAGCCTGGGACCATCCTTGTGCATGCCGCGGGGGCAATGTCGTCGATACGAAGTAATAAGCGCTCTCGTGAAAGCTTTAATGCCGGTGGACTGCTTTTTATAGTCATATGCCGGAAGTTGTGCGTCGAATTCCTTGATGAATAAATCCCATTTGCACTTCCCCCAACTGTAGAATGTCTTAGGTGCCGAAGGTATGGTATCCATAAATGCCTGATGCAGCGTGAATGTTAGCATATAATGATCACTAAGCGGCGACACAGAAGCTGACCAATCTGACACAGTCAAATGCTTTGACCATGTCAGATCGATACAGGATCTTTCTCCTGTGCCACGAGCATACGTGATCTCACCAGGGGTGTTAACCAAGGTGAGTCCCGCATCCGTGCACAGTTCTAAAAATTCTGCAGCAACCTCGCTTGGAGAAGACTCCAAGAATGGCTCCCACTGTGGGTGATGCATGTTGAAATCCCCACACAGCAGGAGCGGCGACGAGGCTGGAAGGCAGTTTACTAACCGCCTGAAGGATTGCGTTACTTGCGGTGGTGGTCTCGTATAGGCACTCGCGACAATAAGATCACGGTTTTGGTCCAGAGCAACCTGGACCACCACCACTTCAAGGCTGGTGTCATGCTGAGGGATGGTGAGGGGTACACGCTTGGAGCGGAGAGTTTTCCGCACTAGCACCGCCACACCGCTTCCCTTGCCGATGCGCGACTGTGCATAGAGCACATGATCTCCAGTATGCATGCTGGCGATCTGCTCCGACGACTTCCAAGTCTCCTGGATGGCTATTATGTCTGCTCCTTGCGCCACTAATGTTGCGAGTTTTGACGGCGTGAGGCAAGAAACGTTCATCTGGAGTACTGCTATGGGGCCTGGGTTCTGCTCAATGTCTCCGCTTAGCAGTAGCTTTTGTCGTTGCGCGTCACATACGGCACGCAAAGAGTATGTATAGCGCTGATAAGCGCCGATGGAATTCAGCAGCGGATGGAAATACCGCTCCGCGGGCAGCCATGTACATGGCTCCATCTGGTGCCCTTCCGACCCGTTTGTGCGGCGCCTCCTGCCTCTCCGCAAGCAGCGGATGAACAGCAGGCGCTTAGCTTCCTCTCTGGCAAAGAGCACTAGACCCTGGCACCACGTTGAGGTGGCCAGCTGACCCAGAGCGTTGTTGTAGTCTTGTTGGTGGTCGTATTTGGCATTTTAAACTTCTGATTTGATGTCGGTGCCTTATGATCCTCATCACCTTGTGTATTTTCCTGCGCCCTTTTATTTTGTGCATCTGACATACCGGTCGCACCTTGTGTGTGTGTGGAGACTGAGTTGCCAAACCTGGTGGCTCTGAATTATCGCTAGCCGAACGTAGTGATTCTGGCGGAACTGGTGTCTGTCCAGTGATGGCTGTGCCTGCTTCCTTTGGAAAGAAGGTCCTGGACTTCTCAAACCCTCCTCGCTGTCTCTCCCACTCTCTGTCTGTGGCACACCGGTCTCCCCACCATATGGCTGTAATGCACCAGGAATATTTCTTGTAGGATCCGGTTTCCCTAGCTCAGGGCTGGGAGGACTGCTGTTATCATTATTATCGTCTCCTGTCGCCGTCACGCACACGGACGTGCAGCAGCAGCACAAGAGCGCAAGGAACAACACGGCGCACACCGTCACCATCGCAGTCATCATCGCCCGTAGTGGAGTCGCTGGTGTCAGTCAGCCGATCGATGAGACGGAAAGGAAAAAGAATGGAACGAGAGGGAGAGGGACGGAGCACAGCGGATACAGCGAGAGAGAGCAGACAACATGAGGAGAGGGCAGCAGGCCCAGCCGCACAGTTCACACACCACGAGACGGCATCCACGCAAGGAGGGCACACAACGCCAGCAGCCACCCACCATGCAGGAGGAGAAGACATCCACCACCACCTCCCCCAGCTCATTCCTGCAGCCCCAGGGAAATGGCCAAAACCCCGCGCCCACCACACAACGCACACGGAGCAAGCGAACCCTCATCCATCCATGACGCGGCACAAAAATTTCCTGCCATCCCGCCCTCAATGGGAGACGGAGCCCAACTCAGCGCAGTCACACGCGGTGCATCAAACCCACAGGAAAATAGACTCGGGCTGCGCACTCCCTCTCTCCCACCTTCTCATGGCCACGGAGGAAGACAACAGCCGCCACACGCAACTGCCAGCATGCACTAAAAAAAGGAGCATTCAAATCCACTGCAATGTCCATCTTGTGTGTGTGTGTGTGGTTGTGTGTGCCTGCAGCAACACAAGGCAAAGACGTAGAAAAGAGGGAGCAGAGTATGTGGAGAGACGCACAAAAATGCACAGCGGAGACGCAAAACGGAAACAACAACAAGAAGACCGCTCAAACTCATGATTGCACCGCAGCCCAAGCAGTGGCAATTCACACAATATTTATTGAAAACAAAAAAACTTCCCCCTTCGTCTTATATAAACCCCATCACACAAAATAATTATAAATGAAAAAAGAAATCGTCCATTACTGCTCCACACAAAATAAAAAAAAGATCGCCTGGCAGCCGTGTGGCCACACCAAACTCTCTGTATATATTTTGCCCTCAAAAGAAAATTAAAAAGATGGTTGCGTGTGCTTCAACCGTCTGACCCTCCATGTGTCCGCACATCGTTTATATTTCATGGGGTCATCTGCGTGTTGCTGCTCCCCTCAGCCCTCTCATCGGCGTGTGAGTGCGGCCCGCAGAGCTCAGTCACTCGTGTTTGTGTGGGGACTGAGAGAAGCACGCAGACATGACGGGAGTCGCGTCACTCCATCGGGAGAGTGAGCGCAGCAAAAAAAAGAAAAATCATCGGAGGGGAGAGAAATGCTCACGAGGCCGACCCCGAAGGGTGTGCCACCGCACGAAATAAACACGCAAAGCAAAACAAATCCTTAAAGAAAAACACGGCGGCAGGGTGTGGCTGTGTGTGTGGCGCTGCGGGTGTCTGCCCGCCCTGCCCGCAAAGAAAACAAAACAAGAGGGAAAGAAATTTGTGCTCCGCCCCACAGGCCATCGTCGCACGCCCACACGTCACGGCTCCCTCAGCGCGCCGTTCGTCGCGGCCCCTCCTCATGCGTGCAGCAGGCGAGGCGCACAGGGCCGTCGTCATGAGCGTGTCGGTGGGTGTGCGAGTGGAGCGGTTGGGCGGGAAACACACGGCACCCCTCACAGGAAGAGTGCAGCAACAAACAATTGAAAGAGGGAAGAGTAAAAAAGAAAAAAGTCCATAGTGATTGTCCCCAAAAGCAAAAAAAAAAAGGTATTGGGGAAATGAGAAATAAAAGAACAATAAAAAGTAAAAACAACAACAAAACGCAAAGCAAACAGGGAATAAAATAAATGTTATTTGAGAAGGGAAATAAATTATCACGTGTATTTTTGTGCTGGGGAGGTCGCAAGTGTCCCACGCGGCAGCCAGTCACTCCTCACAGAGCCGCAAACACCCACAGTCCCAACAGAAGCAGAAGCAGCGATGGCAGCAGTCCGCTCCCACACATGGTGCCGGCATCGCTGTTATTTTCTTGCGACACATTTCCGAGGTTGCTGCTGAGTGTCGTGGCATTTACTTCCCCGAGCTGTGTATTAACCTCCTCCTCCTGTTCATTCGTTCCTCCTTCTCTTGTCTCCACCGTTGGCTCGCCATCAGCAGTAGAACCGCCACCCACAGTTTGAGTTCCATCAGAAGATGATTCTGACGCCACCTGCATTACGGACTCCTCTCCTGCTGAAGGAGTAGTTATAGTGGACACCGCTGTTGTGGATGCACCGCCACTGCCCGCATTACTGCTCCCCATCGACTGTCCCTGTTCCGTCAGATGTTTTCCGTCAGGAGTAGACGAAGTTCCGGTTTGCTGAGCATCTGCGGTAACCGGAGAGGTGTTAGGATTAACGGAATCAGAAGAAACTGTTGAAGGCTCCGACGACTTATCCTTCAAATGTTGAATGGCTACTTTATTTGGGTTAAGGACGCCAATCTCATTGTCACTCAACGGGCGGTTGTACAGCAGGACGTTCTTCACAGTCACAGACACGCCTTCTCGGCTTTCTGTATTCTCTGTGCTGCCTCCATCCCCTCCAATGTAGAAGTGTGAGATGTCTTGCGATTCCATATCTTTCAATTCACATTGTCCATTCCCCACACGCTGACCGTCGACGTACGCGGAGCTCTGGTTGCCATTTCGTAGCAAAATTACCACGTGGTGTGTTGCCTCAGGTTCCCCAATGCTGCTGAGCTCCTCGTTCGTTCCGTCACCGCACAGTAACTTCCATTTCTTTTCCTTCTCGTACGACAACCCAAAAAATTTCCCTTGTTCACCATTCATCTTCACACCCATCAAAGGAATAGTGTTATCTCCCTCCGGCACCTTGTGGATGGACACCGTCGCCACAAGAGTGAAGTTGTAGTTCGCAAAGTGGTACAGCTGATTCTCCACCTGACTGCCAACGGGCCACACCGCCCA